AAACCTAGAGAGTTGTTGGTTTTTTAGATTTTAAATATGCATTTTGACATTGATCAGAGTAAGTGGAGCATCACATTTATTTATGTGTTCAACAAATAAATATTAACGTTAATCATAAAATAAAGGAAACCTCATTGTGAGTAGATAGAATTGCATTGTTTGCTGTAAAAGGCAAAACAGTAATCTGCTAGTAAACAGTAAGCTGCAGATTAGAAGGAATGAAATTGTGCTTCTTGTTGTTCTAGACAAAATAAATAAGCTGTGCTTTGGTCTCCCTCTGCTAACCATTGCCTTCTAGAGCTCACATATGAGCTTTTACCTTTATAAAGATAAAGGTTGTGAAGTTGGTCATTTAAAATAGCTACGTCTTCTTTTTCAGTAGATTTCATTTGGAGTAATGAGACATTCAATTTTGGAAATCAAAGTTTGTTCTTCCCTTTTTATGTTTCAGGTTAAATTACTGCTATAGTTCTAAGGAAATTAAAAGATTTCCCAGTAAACACAGAAGCTGTTTTCATCAGTTATTTTGTGGAGAAAGAAGGACGCTATTCTCAACATGAGGTATAACAGCCTAATGCTCTAAAGCAGATAGCCTCTCACTTCTCCCTGGCTGGTTTTGCCCGGTTTGTTTTCCCTCTGTCTCTCCATTTTGGTTATCGCTCTCTTTCTCACTCCCTCTCTGTCTGTTGATGTTGTTGTCTGCATTTATGGGCATGACTAATCCAGGGTTCCCCCTCTGGCAATTCAGCTGGAAGTCAATCTTTGCTGACTTGTTGAGCTACACAGTGAAACCCTGGCTTCTTCTTTTCTGTGTATTTGCACAGCTCCTGTTTTCCCTGGATGTTTACCATGTGTTAATACAACCTGCAACTCGGGTGTAAGTACCCTATGACCACATGTAATTTTCCGTCACAAGTCAGGTTTTTACAGGAAACACTGAAATAATGACACTGTTAGACATGCAACTAAGGCGTAAGTATCCTGTAATTGTGCCTAATATCAAGTGGCAAGTCAGGTTTTTACAGGAAACAATGACATAATTACATTGTAAGTACCTTGTACTTTTGGGGGCATGGGTCGTATTATGACGTCACAATCAGAGTCCCTGCAACAGTATTTGATAGTTTTCTTTTCTAGACATGAAAAATCTGAATTTAATAATATTACTTTAACCATTTAACAATTCAGAAAAGTTACAGGGTTAATTTTTATGCTGTGCAAGGCAAGTCTCTAAGCTTGTTGTTAGGTAATACTTTAAAATTTAACTTAGCTGTATGTTATTAACCCATCCTAGAAGCAAAAATCTAATTTTGTAGCTAAATAATTTTATTACAGGTTGTCTGTCTCTGTGTGTTAACCTTGCTATAGAGTTGCAACCTATCCAGGAGGTACCCTGCCTTTGCTGTATGTCAGCTGAGATAGGCTCTCTAACTAATAGTCATTTCACATATTGTCACAATGCTTTTTTATTATAACTGGTCAACTATACAACTATACTT